CTACCATGCGACTTAACCTCAAATGGTGTGTACGGTATATATATATATATATATACACACATACACCTCTCTGTTTCTTTCTCTCTCTCTCTCTACTTTTATAATTTTGACCAACTACAAAACTAAGATATATCTACACAGGAGTTTGAAAGTTAATGCAAAAGTCTCAAGAATTTTACAAAGCAGGTATCATTTTTGAACTCAAGAAATACTTTAACACTGAGGACATGAAGAGCAGCTGAGCAGGAAGTAAATAATTAGACTTTCACAATTTTCGAAGGAGTATGCTGTGGCCAATATCATGAGTAGCAACAGTTACTAAACCCCTTCTCTCTGCAGCCTCTGTTGTAGAACTTGGGATGCTAGCTACCCTGCCAGCTTCTTTTGCAGCTACCTGTGGTCATGTGACCTAGCTGTGGCCAATGAGACAGAAGAGAATTATTTGCTGAAGGCTTCTGGCAAAACTTGTGGTTTCCTATTAAAAGGCACAAGCAGGAGGAGAGAATTCTGTCTTACCCCAGGTCATTTCGCATCTCCTTCATCTACATTTAATGTGCCTGGGACACCTGGACCTTGACAAAGCAAGCTTGAAGACATCAAGCAAAAAGATAGCCATCAGAAAATAAAGAATAAAAGCCTAGATCTTTGCTGAAACTAGCAGCTGAATGCCAGTAAATGCTTACTACTGTACTTTTTTGTTGGTGTTTCTGAGACATGTAGTTCAAGCTGGCCTTTACCTCACTATATTATAGTCCAGGCTGGCCTCGAATTCATGGTGATCCTCCTGCCTCCTCTTCCAGAGTTCTGGGATTAAAGGTGTGCCATTATACCCAGCTTGCTGTACATCTTATTATAAGAAAACAAGAGATTATCCATTTAAGCCACCAAGTCATGTATCAGCTACTTATAGGGATACACATTACTTATGCTTGTTTATTCATGGAGAAAAAGCAGAAGAAATCCAAAAAAATAAAAAAGAGGAAGAACCAGGCCATGCAGCACTATGCAGAGGAAGCAATTAAATACCTACTTAAAACTTGGATCAAATGGAATTGGTAAGTTTTCAAACAATGCCAAGACATAACAATTTTCATGAACAGCAGAAAATAAAGAACTTCCAAAACAGTAAGTATTCTACAGTGATTTAAGACCAGGAAAGGTCAAGACATCCTCTAATCAGATGAATTTCAATGCAAACCTCATTTCTGGGTGTTCTGCCAATATGCATGTTATTGCCAAATGCCTAATTCAAAATCATATATAAGAATGTTTTAACTGAAATACAGAAGTTAAAAATAAGACACTTAAATAGTAATCTCCCTACTCTTGTAAAGATAAATGTACCCATTAATCCTATATGTTAATAGGAAGATTTCTTTCTCTTATATTGTACAAGACAATATTTTAAAGCTTTTCACAAGAAGTTGCCATGAAAAAAAATTTTTACGTAACTGGTTCCTTACCAGCTACTTCACTGAATTAAAACACAATGAGGTTCATAACTTTTAAGTGAAAATATTAAAACATGTATTAAGTCCCTCTGCATAAGATCTTGTGTAAACATGGGGAGGATGAGGGACAGTTGGTTGCAACAAAACATAAAGACACCACATATCCTTTTGTGGAGCTTAATATCTAGTTAGGGCAGGAAGAGACAAATGTGAAGTTAAATGAAATGTTTCAATAACAGTTGTAGAGAGCAGAAGAGATGTCATAAAACAGTGTGCAATTCATTGCCAAAAATAGTGTGGCTGACAATCCTGCTGCTGCAGTATTTCAAAGAAGAAAAAAGTCACTTTAAGCCTGGAAGGTCTAGGGAAACTTTGCAGAAGGCAGGATCTCAGCTCAATCTTAAAAGATGTTGGAAACCTGTTACGTGATCAAAGGAAGCACAGTAAGAATCTCAGAAACACTGGCTGAAGGCTAGGGATCTAGCTCAATGATAAAGAGCTTGCCTAGCATGGGTAAGGTACTAGGTTCAATCCCCAGTACTGGAAAAGAAAAATTACTTGTTTAAAACAAGAACCTTTTAGAAAAAAAGAATGCAGCAGGCAAGTAAAGGTGTGGACAGGATTCAACAGGCAGAACTGAGATTTGGTAGGTGGCTACAAAAAATAAGGGCCATGTCCTTTTTCAACACGCCAGACCTGAGACCTCCAGGCTCCACTGTGATTTCACACTTGAGCAGATTTTCTTTCACCAATATAGAGCCTCTCCCCCAGTTTTCTTGGAAATATTCAAAACATTTTAATTTAATGAAGGATTTTTACAATCTCCTAAAGTCTCTGGTCTTGGTAAGAACTAGGCTCCTAAAGGCTTTCACTTTTAGCCCTTCTGCCCTCTGGCTTTGCTGATGGATGCAGACACAGCAGATTATGTCTGCATGGCTCAGGTACCTGGACAGCATGATTTAAATTAAAAAAAAAAAGGTTAGCAAAGTTGAGGTTTACCTAACATTTCTAGTATCTAACTATCTCCATTTGCTCCAAACTAGGAGCCATCAGAGAACTCAGTGCCTGGTGGGCATTCAGCAATTATTTGGAGATTCATACTGTCTTAGGAGGAAATGGTTTCAGATTCTTTCTACAAGAATAAGACTAATTCTGGGACAGTTCTCATCTGACATAAATATGTTATCCTTTTTAGTCCAAATGAGACCCGAGCTGCAAAAAGTCCTGGGTCCAGGGATATTTTGCCTGTACCTCTGCAACTGCTCACCTACAACTCTGATCATCCTGGTTCCCAGATAAGAGGAGTTTGCAAACCAATGTCTCCTTGAATCCCAGTCTTTCCATTGGGCTTTAGGCAGCATCCCAGGTAATAATGTATGGAAACTACCATTTTTCAGAATGGGCTTCCTTAAAAAAAAAAAAAAATTAGTGTCACTAATAAGAAAATTACCTCTCTGTATTCTTCAGTCACTTCTGCAACACTCTGTTCATCTTAAATATTTTTAATCCTCAGGATATGGATTTGGGAAAACCAAAGATTATTCCTGGCCCATGGTAACTTCAGATCACTGGGCATACAAACCCAAGTTTTTATTCATGAAGTTTTCTCAGTTCTTACACTTAGCCTTTTACTTTGTACCATGTTTTTGTTTTTTTGCTCATGTACCATGTTTAATTAGGACAAGATTGCTAATATATCACTTTCAGCTGGGCCTTGGTAGGCTTCAGAAGTCTTGAAGGACAGACTCCTTAAAAATAAGAAGAGGAAGAAAAGCATAAAATGTGTCAGGGAAATTAAGTTCCTTTTGTTTCACTCTCAAATTCTGCCTTTTAAATGTAGTTCGTCTACCCACGGTTCAGTGAAAGATGGTTTCCTTATTGTCATTTATTAGCCATGACAGGCAGCAACACTTCTCTCAGATACAGTCTCCCTTCACCACAATTATCTAGTAATGCCTGCGAGGCAAAAGGCTGCTCAAAACTTCTTCCTTCTGGAATGCTTTTCCCATAGGCAACAGTTCAAAGCAAACTTCTGTTAACTGGAACACTGACATCTGCAGAATTCTCTGGACAGGACAATTCCACTACTCCTGGAGTGATAGCAGAAACTAAGACATAATTACCTGTAGTCCAGTCACTAGGAAATCTGCTCACCAACACAGTTCAAAGGTGGAGGCCTTATGTATCCACACTGACAGTTGCCACCCCATAAACAACCCAACCACAGCCTGTCACTGCACACACATCCCTCTTAGAAGGATCTTTTCCTGTTATTCTCCAAAGAGGAAAAGAAAACAGGAAAAAAAAATGTTTTTCCACTAAAATTGAATGTAGGAAGCTGAGACAATATATGTTAGTATCAAAACTAAATAAATTAATGCACCATTGGCTTGTTGGCCCCTAGACATATTTGCAAATGTGACATAAAAATTACACACTCCTTGCTAACAGGGCTCACAATTTGCAACTTGCAGCAACATAAAAATGGAACCTATTTTTTATCTTTAAGTCTCTTTACTGATTTATTTCTTCTTTTGTTTTATGCATTTTGGAGCAAACCGAGGGGAAGGAGTTTCAAGGAGAAAAGAGAAATTGATGAGAAAAAAAGAAAAGAGACAGTTAATAAGGTCAAGGGGGCAGCAGAAGCGGGACATGAGGACTGAAGCATAACGGCAGGGAGAAGTCTGTGACTTACCAGATCTTCCAGTCTGAAAAGGGAGCAGAGAACTTAGGACAAGTGATAAAAGAGCCTCTTTCTGGCCCATACAAAGCATCACCCAGCTTGACGTAGTGGTGCACGCAGGCCTATAATCCCACCTATTTGGGAAGTTGAGGAGGATCACAAGTTTAGGGCCGGCTGGGCAATTTAGCAGGACTTTGCCTCTATCTTAGTTACGTTTCTATTGCTGAGACAAAATACTTGACACCCAAAGTTAGAGGAAGAAAGGTTTATTTGGCTTACCGTTTGTTGAGGTTTCAGGCCATAGTTGCCTGGCTCCAAGACAGGGTGGCATGGCAGAGGGGCATCTCAGAAGAGAAACTTTCTGCAGCAAGCAGGCAGGTGAGAGCACATTAGCCCTCTTTCTGTCCCTTTCATTTTATGCAGGCTACCAGCCCTAGAAAGCATTCAAGCCCTTAATCCTAGCCAAAACTATGCCAAACCAATCAGTGGACTGATCTAGTAATCACACACCCTTGATTCCAGCATCATACACTCCAGATCCAGCCACTTCTGAAAAGCCATGACTGCACAAGGCTTTGGGGTGACATCTAGACACAAGTCACAACAATCTCAAAATTTAAAAAAGGGCCTGTAATGTAGCTCACTGGCAAAGTACCTGCCTAGCATGCAAGAGGCCCAAGATTCCACCCCAGTAATGCAAAAACAACAACCAAACAAAGCATCACTTATCCACTCTAGGAAAACACACAGCATTAGTACCTCAGATTGTTTTCTAAGCATTAAGCCTACAAAATGTGCTTCACAGAAAAAACAGAAGAGACAGAAACAGGATTAAACATCTAATTGTTATAATATAAACATGAACATACTTTGGTATGGTAAATTTTAATAAGATTTTAATAATATTGGCAAGGAGCCAAATTATAATGTCTTAGAATGTGGAGAGCAAAACCGGAGACAGAATAAAAATTCTTCAAACTGTAAGAGCACTCAAAAAAAGGTAGTAATCTTTAAGGTGAAGCAACCATTTTCTCAACAAAGGCACCAAGCATGTTTAGGGTGATGTTTGCATAGAAGGTGTGGTGCCAGCACAAATGAGCTTCCTTCCATCACCAATAGATCTGGAAGAAATGCCTCCAGGTGGGCAGAATTTCTCACAATGCACCTGAAGGATAGGAAGTGATTTACTCTCTGGTTGTGGAGTGTCTCTGGAAATAAACTGTGTTGGCAGATAGAGGGAGCAACCTGTTTCCATGCAGCAGAGGTGGGAATATGCTCAACACCTCCCACCCATGCAACCCCAGTGGCCACTGCAGCAAGACGTGGTCTGGGGGGTGGCAATGGGAGAAAAGGTGTCCTCTGGGAACAACTCTTTACTCAGATAAACTAAATGTAACAGCTCCATGTGATCAACAAAGCAAAAATAAGAGGCCAAAACAATAGGGGTTCTCACCCCCAGAGGGATAATGTGCCACTAGCCAGCATGTAACCGGATAGCAGGAACAGAGGAAATATTCCTGGTTCAGTGGTGCTGATCATCTGTCAGGACAGATGTACCATCTGATCTAGGTTTTCTGGGTGGGTGGGTAGGGGCTTCCCTCAACTCTGCACCAAGTACTTTAATGCTACTGTCATTTGGGTGCCATTTTTTTTTCTCCAAGGGCAATACATGTTATGCTTCATTTGGGCCAGATGTGCACATCAGCGTGGCTGCTATACCCGCTAAGAACACAAACAATTATTTATGTGTCCTTCCAGCACACATAGAAATGGCTGTTGAAATGCAGTGGATGAGAGAGAACTAACAGTCTTCTGTGAGCAACCAGGATCCCAGTGAACGAGGTCACAAGTGAGAAGACATCCTTAATCTAGCCTTGTGTGACAGGCGATCTGCAGCTTCCCTTATTTCCAACCCTAAATCAATAGTTTAAACAGATGTAGGTTCCATGTGACAGGAGGGAGGGTAAGGGAGATGTGAGGCTTTACATTCTTTAGATGTCTACTTGTGCTGGCCTGGCTATTAAAAAGTTTTGTGTAACTTCAAGATGAAAGGCATTAGCAGCTTCTTAGAAGAGGAGAGTCCCAAACTTCTGTAGATTTAATGAGATTGAACTCACTGAAGCTTCTGACTCGGTTGGCTGTTAATTGAATCAAAGTCAATGACAATCTTGTTGCACCTGGGTGTGAATTTCCTAAACACAAAAAACAAAATATATAAAGATATTATCCAATGAGTAGTTAAAGCAATTTGTTTACTTTGGTTTAAACTATACTTTCTGTGAAGAGAAAAAAAGTCCTGGGATTTGCTTGATATTTTGTCTCTATAGGAGCCAATTATAGGGCACCATACCGAGAGAAACAGGGACCAGAAAAGACTAAGACAAAAAAGATGCATGGGGTGGCTTGGTGTATATGTTTTTCAGCTATCTGAGTTCATGAATTATCCGGGAGTCAAAGGATTTCTAACAAGTTAGCTGCACAACATGATATCTGATTACTTGTTTTCCCATCAGATTTATCTTATTTTCTAGGAAATTTCTACCGCCAACTTGGAGTTGTTCCAAAGCAAAAGGTAGTAAATTTTCTTTTGCCTTGTATATAGAGCAAAAAACAACTAGTTTTAGTGAGGAGCAATTTCTTAAAATCATGTTCTAAAAATGCAAATGTTTTTGTACTCATTAACTTTTTACTCATTACTCATTATTTCTATAATAACTGAAAAACATTTGAGGCTAAATATATTCAAGTATAAAGAGAGTATGTAAATAACTTGGATTTAAACGCTCATAAAGTGCGATAGTTCAAGAGATTTATCCCATAAAACCCATATCCCTAAAAACACAAGGAGCTAGGTATGTTACCCATTTAACAGTCCTGCCACTGCTGATCATAAATACTATAAAGTTTTCTAGTCTCAAAGGAATTTTCTGCCATTAATCAAAGATGAGGGAACTTACTTGCAAGTAAAACATACCACAAAAATCTTTGCTCAGCAAAGACAATCATAAAAATCCAAAAGCTCAATTTTAAATGCTGCTCTTAAAAAATTCCTGGTATTTCAACTAGGTTGCTTTCATCCAAAACTGTCTATGCCAGAGTTGTTATATTTGCAAAATTTACAACTGTTTAGCATTACTACTGCACAACTTGTGAATTTTAAAATTTCTTGATACAGTACTCAAATAATTAGTCTGAACTGTGGAAAGTTATTATTAAAATATAATCATTAAACATATTGTCTTCAGATATATCTGTCACTACTCCTAAAAAACTACCCCTAGAATAACCTTTAATTATGCCATCACATTTCCAAATGTACTTCCCAGTGTGAAAGTTGGGTATCAGAGGAAGAAAGTGGATATCGAACAAGGTCATGCATTTATTTGTCTGTATCAGCCCTTCAAACCACCCCTTGCTATGAGTTCTCCCAACTCACCTGAATATAACCCCAGCCATTTCAAACATGAGCCTCGCAGCTGTTGTCTCATCACTGTCATGGTATTTATCAGACATGAAAATAACTTCCTTTATACCTTAAAAGGTAGCAATGAAAGCCTCATTAGTAAATGCATATACAGATACTGTAAAAGAAGACAGAAGCAGATGGAGCCCTCCTAGTGTGATTAATTACCTTTTCCGAGTGTGCTTGCAGACAATGTCCAGTTACTGAAATATGTATCTGTCATTTTCTAATACAGCAGAGGGTGGACTACATTTAATCTGCCCTCCAGTCTTTATGAATTTTTTTAAACAAATGCGAAGTCAAAGCAGTCAAGTTTTGATCTGATTAATAAATTTTCTTTCTCCAGGTAAGCAAATATTCTTTTATGCATAAGGCAACTATTCAAGAGCTGATGGGGTGAGTAAAGGGTGCTGGCCAACACAGAGATTAGCACCACTTTGCACCCCAGAAAGGCTCTGCAGACCAATTCCGCCCACTTCTGTGGAGCACAAATCTGCTTCCTTTTCTGACCTCACCATACAGCAGCAATAATAACTTGAGTTGGGAGTTCTGAGTGCCCTGCACTAAAGGCTGCTCCTCCACTATCTTCAAAAGGGACACAGAAGCTGGCTGCACAGAGCACAAGCTGTTCAGGGCCTATGCCTGCTGCCAATGCAATACCTGTGGATGGCAGAGGAAACATCCTGAAGGATTTAGGGGCAGCAGCCGTATGGGAGCCCAGACTGTTTCTTAAGGGCAGCTTCTGATTTGCTCTCAGCAGACCTCTTCTGCTGAGATCCACGGGGCTTGTGATAAACAGCCCCTTTAAACCACACATCTGGCTAAACATTGCTAAGTCTTTAGATCTCAAGCTGAGAGCTTTATGGAGATAAAGTATAGCTGAATCTTAGATGTGACAGTTTGAAAAAGGTGAAATATTCAGAATACAATGGTGTGGATTTATGGTAACTATAATATAAGAAAAACTTGGAGTGTTACCATTTCAGTCTTATGACATTTATATGCAAAGATATGCTTAGATTCTCAAATATCTACCACATATTAGATACAAATTAAAATTTGATATACAGACTCCCAGCTGACCTTGTTTCTGACAGAAGTTCATTTTCCTTCCTCCCCCCTAATCTATGCACACTATGTCAGAGAATGGTAAATTGACAGTAATTATATGCAAAGCCTGTGTTGCTTTTTGGCAGCTTGCAGTTTAAGAAGTTGCAAACTAAATTAAAAACATGCTAAGAATCACAGAGGATGCAATTAGTCTTAGAATACCTGGCGCCATTCAAAAACAAAACACGAGAAATATCTTGCAAAGTTGATACTGCAATTAATTTAGATCTAAACAATAACAATTTAAGATCAAACACATCTGCAGTGAACTACTTGATGAGCAGGCAGCAAATGTGACATGTAAATGCAAATGTGACAATTGGAAAGGCCTGTTTCCTACCTGCCTGGATGATGAGCTTAGCACATTCATTACATGGAAACAAGGCGACATACATGCTACAGCCCTTCACGTCAGCTGAATTCTTGTTCATGATGGCATTCAGCTCAGCATGGCACACTGAGTTTGAAAAAGGGGGGGAAAAAAAAACTTAGATTGTATCTCATGAAAAATTTACCAAGTGTTAAGCATTTTATTCCCCCCTCTGAAATAACTGTAATAGACTCAATAAAAACAAATTGATTAGAAAGGCAAGTACTGAGAATACCAAGTGAGGACCAAGTGACCTGACTGGGTTGGTGATTAGTGGGGAAACCGTTCACTGAAGCAGCCCTAGGTCTGTAAGTACCTAGAGCAGCCAGGAGAGGCTAAGGTCAAGTACCTTCACCCACCCTAAGCGCAGTAATAGCTCACCGCTCCACAAGACCCTGGGGTATTGAATGGCCCACATAAAATGGCTCATTTGTGTGTTGATATGCACACACAGGGATATTCATGTGGCTGTTACAGGGCAAAGAGCAATAAGAGCAAGAGAATCAAGAAGTGAAGCTGAGCATTTCTATCCTGAGGGATCTGCTTCATCTCACCATCCTCAGCACAGATGCACAAAGAAAAATACCACCAGATAGCCAGCAGTTTGTCATTCTTAAGAGAAACATTCATCCACTTAATGGCAATCAATAGTGAAGTTCTTATACACTGGCCCATTTCACCAATGACCCAGGGTCATCCCCAGGCTTGCCTGAGTTCAAGGTTGGAGGGAGAACTTTCCTCTCTCCCCTACACCTGTCAAAGCTGACCCCTTTCCCAGGCCCAGTCTGGCCAGCTCTTCCCATCACCTAATCACAGAATGTTCCTCCTCAGGAGGAAATGAAGACTCCAGCAGAGACCTAGTTCTGAATCCCTCAGCCTGCTGGGTGAGGTTTCTGTATAGTCAACTTTGTATTGTTACTGAACTTCTGGCTGTGTTATCTAAGACTATATTATACACTCTTTATTGTAGGGACTCAAACTTGTCCCTGGAGGAGCTTCCAAAATACTAAACATCTGTGTCCCATCCTGGAAGTATAATGGTGTGGACTTTTTAGGAGACTTCCTAGATAATTCAAATGTACTTAAGACAAGTGCAGGAAGCACTGCCAATCAAAGTCCCTGTTTCCCTCAACACATACTTAGGCACACAAGTGCTAAAATGTTTGTTGAATTAATTAATGAATATCTAGGTGTGGGCCAAATCATACAAAACTCTTAGAACATAAGGTGCAGACCTTCAAGGACCTCCCTACGCTCCCCGAACACCAGCCTTCCACACTAGCTGGGCACCTTTTCAGTACTTCCAAGGCCTTAAATGAACAGTGGCCTAAATGCATGGCTCCCATACACATATGTCACGACTTCCTTTGTAATTAATGCACACTTACTACTCCACATACTCCACATCTACTGTGGGTTAGATAGGTGAAGGCCCTGGCCCAGCTTCCTCAGCCAGCCTTCTATTTGGGTTTTTGTGTCCTGCAGCAGCTTGGTAATGCCACAGGTAGAAAGTCAACCAAGACCTCTCAGAAAATGTCAGTACGTCCTTATTTTAGACTAGGAATAGCATGTTTTGGGAAGCTTCAGTTGTGTATGAAAATGACCTGAACATGCCGCCTGCCTCACAAGCACAAGTTCGATCCCTGGCACCAAAAAAAAAGAAAAAAGAAAATAACCTGTCTAGCATTGCAGGAAAAATCTTGTTCTAAAGGAACAAGCTATACCTAATCAGATCAGGGCCCATCAGAGAAAAAACCTGGCTGGGCAGAGAGCGACCTCAGCCACAAACCAAAAGACTTGCTGGCCTGACAAACCAGCAAAGGCCATGTGGGCACCAGCCCTGAGAGGCTCCCTCAGCTCCTGCTCCCCTGGTGATCAAGATGTTCCAGAAGTGGGCATTAACAATGCTCAATGTTAAAAACAATTAGATGTAACTGTTTCTTTTATTTCCCCCTTGAGGGCAGAGCCCAGCCTTCTAGATTCTTTGTAACTTCCCAAGAGCCTAATGCAATGCTATGAACATAATGGGCGTTAAACATTTATTGAATGAATAAAGGAGGAAATGCAGATTCCAATTACTGATGGTGATGTTAAGAAATACCAACAGTTCCCTAAATTCAAATATCAAAAATAGGCTTTTCCATCTAATGTATATTTTTATGGTGTTGGTATTCATATTCAGAACAGAGTCTCTGAATCTGTTATAAAACAGTACTATGATGTCCTCTTTTGAATTCCAAAGAACTGTCACACTGTGATGATGCTCCTCTTAATTCATCTAGGTAGTCTGGAGCAAATTTAACATCACAGGCCTGGATTCATTAGTGAAAATTGCTGTATGAAACATTCTCTTGGGCAGTGCCTGGCGTCCCTGTGTATAAAGGGTGGTTGATAGAAATAATATACAGGTGAATAAACAGACCTCTTTTCTCTTAACTTAAAAAAAAAAATCACTAGAAAAATGCAAAGCTTCTTGTTAAAGAAAAGATCAAGTCTACTGGGTGCTATGAACACCTGAGGGTCAGATACACAGGAAATTCTTTATAAGGAACAGTTCCTAAACCATAATCCATCCTCCCACAAAAAACTAGTGACAGAATCAAAACCCAAGGGCTCAGCCTAAAGCCTAAGAATGCACCCAAGTCTTCATTTCTCTCTCAGTACTGCACTTTCAATTTCAGAAATGGCAAACACCTGCTTCCTTCCCAGGAGCACTTTGGCCCACCTATTGCTGACCTCCAGGCTGCACCTAAAACACTGGTGGTGAACTTGCCACAGTGGACTGTCTGTTATCATTGAAAGCTCTAAAAGGTTCACAATGACTAAAGGGAGAACCGCCCCCCCCGCCACCTTCCAGGGAAGCACTGACCCCTCAATCTGGACCTGCCCACCTAATCCCCACTTTGTAACTCCCCACATGCTGTTCATCCAGGTCCCAAAGCCTAGCCTTGTCTTTCTGGCCTGAGATTTGCCTCGAGGGACCAGGGTTTCCATGGGCCCCATAGCTCTGACTCCAAAATTCCCTTCACAATCACCTTGTAGGCCTCTTCTATCCAAGAATATATTACTCATTGCTTAGGCCCAGGCCTCTGTTCTTCCCTCAAAAAAGAAACTGGGCAGACCAACTTGATGACTAGCCACTCAATTTACTTAACATAGGTCTGTCATAGGGTGGAGTATTAGGGGCTCATTTCTTAGACACTGATCAAATAACAGGGAACCACCAAGTTTGCTTCAGGCCACAGAGAGCACTTAAAATTAACATCCTAGAGTGGAGAGCTTTCTTCAGGCCCTGGCTAGCCAGACTACAAGGTCACGCACCTTTGTCCTTTATACTCTCCACCTCAGGAAGCAGGTACAGAGAAAGAATGTGCTACAGGGGTTGTACCAGAGTTCAATCAAGGTCAAATTTGATCTTTGACAAGGTGCATATGACCTTTGACAAAGTACGTGACCTTCGCGTTTGCACAATTAACACAGGCTCTGCAAAAGTGTATTTCCAACTAACATAAAAGCAACTGTAAAAATACCAGATGGATTGATTTTTAGCCTTTTAATTTCCCAGTTTTATTCCTCACGCCTCAAGAACAGCTGATCTCCAAGACAAGCTTTCACTAACAAAACATGGGTCTCTTTTGCTGCCACCTGCAAGGCCCCAGCTCACTCCCACCTGCTCTGAGAATGCTGCTGCCCTCTCCTCCGTTCTCCTCCTTTAATAATGCACACTTAGTCCTCCTTCTGCACAGGTCATCTGCTCAACATTTAAAATCCATTTTCTTTTTTGGAAGAAATCACCATTTCTACTATGGCTACTCTAATTTTTAAAAGTAATTATTTCTTGACTTTGTAATGCAGATTATAACCTCATTTTCTTTAAAACAATGTTTTTTCAAACTTCAAGTCATGAAATCATTGAATTTTAAAAAAAAAATAAAATGGATAAAGTAAGGAAAGAGATCAGAACGCATCCCACATGCAAGGTTAGGTACTGCTCCCAAAACCTGTTTCCAGATCGTGTATTTCAAGTATAAACTATGCATGCCGGACCACTATGAAAGAAGCATGGGACTTGTTACTCCATGGACACCCGTTGGCCTCTGTAATATACTGATAAATGTGGACAACCGAGTATTTTTAAAAGGAAAAAGTCCTGTAATATGTCCCAATTTCTGTGTAGATACTCACATGGAGTGGGAAGAGACATACACAATCGGCTCTGGTGAGCCTGCTCCTGTGTCACTGACTGTTACCAAACCCCAAGTCCCTTTCCAGTTGTAATCCTTAGATTCACCAGTTCTCTTGACCTGTGATTATTAGTAGAACTACACACTACTGTAAAACCTCTTAGACTTCTTTGTGTTCTACTTTTCTGTGAGTCCTTTTCTTTCTTTTGCTTTTTTGGGGGACTACTGAAGGCTTAATCCGAATCTTAAGTTTTTCTCTTGTAGTCACCAACTTGAACTGATCTCTTCATAGAGTCTCAGAGACCAGACCTATTTCTAAAATCCTGAAATCTACATTTCTAACCCAAATTTCCTGCCTTTTTTTTTTTTTTTTTTGGTGAGGGGTGGTAGCATCTGGGGCTTCTGCTCTTTTTCTCACCACAATAAACATTCCATAGATACTTGACAGCAATAAAGAATAAATGTATCTTTCCCTAGTGCTGACATTTTCACTGTGTTGCTTAATAACTGCAGCAAGAGCCAAAATATACTTGTGTGCAAATCTAACCAAGAATTGGTTCTATTAAAGCATAGCTTTTATATTTATAGTAGGAATAAGGACCAAGAATTTAAAAGACACACAATGTCCAAGAAGTATTCACAGATAATCTACATAGTCAAAAAAGATTAATTTTCCAACTTTTTACCTAGAATTATACATCTACGGCTAAACAATAAGAAATCTCCAAATAAAACACATGTATTTCCCTAGCACAAAGAGTATCACAAAACCCTTCAATTATTCCCAACACTGTTTAAAAGGAAAAGAATCAAATAGTAGAAATTCATACTTATAAAGTTCTTGATTGTCAGAGGAGTACCTCTGTTTCAAGTAATTATAAGACAGTTCATATGCTTTGGTCT